GCCAGTTTAATGTGGCCGTCGCTGGTGACCAGCAGGTTTTGCGGCTTTAAATCCCGGTGAACGATCCGATGGCTATGCAAAAAATCAACGCCGTTTACGATTTCCTTAGAGAGGTTTCTAATCTCCGTAGTGGAAAATCCTCTGGAAAAATCACGGTCAATAACGAAAAACGTGGGTCGTCTTGCAACTTACTGTGCCTGTTTGCTGATGTACATGGCCAGATCCTGTTCGACATGCTCAAACACCAGGAACATCATCAAGTCTTTGCCCAGTTGCTGGCCGTGGCAAATGTCCAGCAGTTTAACGATATTCGGGTGGTTGAAGGTGTTCAGTTGTTTGAGCAATGCGATTTCTCTTAACGTGTTCATGGGGATTCCGTCCTCATTCAGCGGAATCCAGACCTTCTTCAAGGCCACCTCCTGTCCAGTCTCATTGTTCCTCGCTTTATACACCGTACCGTACGCTCCTGGAATCAAACAAACCATTCATCCATTAGCAGCCCATTCCGGCCATTAAGAAAAGCTTTACCTCTTCCTATCTTGTTGATAGCCTCGTAGGTACTCTTCTCCTGCTTGCTGTTCTGCGCCATTTCCCAAAGTCTCTTCCTAATGTAGTCAGAGCTGTGAAACCAATCTTCAGCCGGGATGCATAGAAAAACTCGAAGTTCTGCTTACCTCTACAGGTGTGATCTGGTAATGCTACAACTGTCCTCTTTGTTCACTGGCAGCCACGCTTGAATCATGTACCCACACGACTGGCATGAATAAACCTGGTAATCGATTTGCTAATTAAGCTGGTAATTAACGTGCAACACAACAAAACATTAAGGCGAACAGAACAAAACAAACACCCTTAACCATAACGGAACTTTCACCCTGACATTTGCAGGTTAGTTTCAGCTGTTTAGAGACGAACTTTTTGCTTTCTCCATTGCCTTCAGATAGAAAGAAAAGGAAAGCCGTCGCATCGGGCATCAATTAATATATATTGCATTTTTAGACATGCATCCGCCATGCAACTCGTACTACTAATAAATCCCTAATTTCACTGGTTCTTTATTGCCATAATAATCGAGATAATTTTTCAATTAAAAAAAATCTATAAAAAAATTGGTAAAAAGAATAAAATCGAAATAAATCCGAAGCAGCATTTGACCGAAGTTTTCCCAAGTTCCTTGATTAAAGTGAAGATTTATTTAAAAGATGTTTAAAGCCGCAAATTTATATCTCAAGTGGTTCTTGAGCAATCGCCTATTGAAATTTGTAGAGCAAAAACCGCGTAAAGTAAAAAAAATGTCGGAAGTTTCGTAATTGGTTCCAAAGAAGGTTTTTACTGGATGCTGTCCAAATTCGCCAAATATTTAATACAAGGCTTCCTTTAAATGTTGCTGGAAACTGCAAGTTGATATCTGGTCTGGTTCTTGAGAAATGGCCTTTTGAAGATTGTGGTGCAAGATCCGCATAAATTGCATAAACCGTCCAAAGTTTCGGAATTAATTCCGAAGTAGATTTCAACTGGATTTTTTCTAAATTTCTACCATAATCAAAGCCGAGCTTCCTTTAAAGGCCGCTTGACGATGCAAATTTATATCTCAAGTGGTTCTTGAGCAATCGCCTATTAAAATTTGTAGTACAAAACCACGCGAAGTAAAAAATTTTCGGAATTTATTCCAAAAAGGTTTTACCTGGATTCTGCCGAAATTCGCCAAATAAATAAGATAAAACGTCCTCTGAAGGCTGCTGGAAACTGCAAGTTGATGTCGGATCAGGTTCTTGAAAAAATGGCTTCTTGAAATTTTTTGTGCAAAACCAGCATAAGGTAAAAAAAATGTCCAAAGTTGGGGACTTAATTCCGAAAGAGTTTTTCTCTGAATTCGTCTCATGTTATCAACATGGTTAAAGCGAAACTTCATCTGCAGGCTGCTGCAGGCCGCAAACTGATATCTCAACAGGTTTTTGAAAAATGGCGCTTTGAAGATTGTTGTGCAAAAAACGCACAAAGTTAAAAAACGGCCCGCAGTTTCGAAATTCGATCTAAATAAGTTTTGCGCTAGATTCTTCAACAATTAATTGATCTAAGAATTTAAATGACACTTCGCGTAAAGGCTGCTAGAGGCCACAACTTGAAATCTTATCTAATTTTGGAGAAACAGGGCTTTTGTCCTGGAAACTGTCCAAATATCCCGAATTAATCAAAGGAAGAAAAAATTTGTAAAATCAATAGTTGAGTTGTCTGCGTTGACCAACACTCCTTCTGCTAAATAACACAAACGCAGCCCCCTTGCACAATGGGAACCTGGAATGTAGCCAGCATCGCTCATCTCCCTTGCACCTGTAGAAGCTGTGAAAGATGCAAGATAGCTTGGCGCGTGCTACGTTCCATCTTGATACATCTGCGGCTAAAATT